ACATAGGTTAACGCTTTTAATCGGGTCGTTAATCACAGCCACGTTGATTATGTCATGTTTCCGATGATATAAACATTGGAAGGCACAGTGGTAACTTGTAGCATTCTAACCTTGTACCTCTGAAAATCCCAGAAAAAAAAGGGGGGGGTCGAGCGGAGCAGCGGGGGGCGGCCGGGGCTGGCCCCCCCCCCCCCCCCCCCCCAAAATCCTGTCTTTCCCCCCCAAGACCGAAGAAACAACTCTCTACGTTAGTTATGAATGAGAAGCAACGTCAGGGTCAGCGTTTCCTCCTGCACTACCCCTCCCGAGACAAGAGTTGGCACTACAGGTTACAATAACAAAACCAGGGGAGAGGGACAGAAATAAGACAAAAAAATCCTTATTTACAGTAAAATCTTCTTTTTAAAAAAGTTAATCAGTACTATTTTTTTACAGGAGCAAAAAAGTCTGAAACAAATGAACAAAAGCTTACCATATTCACTAAATTTTTAATATATATTTATATATATATTTATATATATATATTTGTCATAGGTCTATAAGATCCATCTGTTTCTCCTACCCTAAGGAATGGCTAATGTCATCGCTTCAGTTTTCATTAGGACGTTTGCTGGTTTTGTAAATATCTGGGCAGCAAAGCTTCCCTTTTAATATCCAGTAAGTATAAACACTAGCTGTCTAGCACACCAACAAAAACGCTCATTTTTTTTTTTTTTTTTTCTTCAGAAGTACACTTTTTCATTATTGCAAGTTTACAATTTTAAATTAAATAGTTTTTTTTTTTTTTCTTTTTTTTTTTTTTTTAACTTTTTCTTCAGACTTACAAATTAATTATATTTTTTTTTTTTTTTTTTTTTTTCCAAAAGAAGTTTAGGCACAAATGCATTGTCCCACAGTGTGGAGAAGATTGCCATTCAGTCTCTAGGCTGTGCACTTACAGCTCGGAACATACTGCGTTAGACATTCTGCATGATATGTTAAAGAGAGTCGTCCCTCAAGTTGCACTTTTTGTTTGTTGGTTTATTTTTTTTTTTTTTGTGTGTGTGTGTGTTTTTTTTTTTTTTGATGTTTTTTGTTTTTTTGTTTGTTTTTCTCGGTTTTAATCATCGGGAATGCTGAAATCTCTTGCGTCTGTGATTCTTAACTACTCAGACTTGTCTTATATTACAAAAAAAAAAAAAAGGGGTTAAGGAGAAGTGTTTATGTGGGTTTAAGATAATACAGCTGTTAAGGAAGTGGTCTCTTGCTTAAATGAAGAAATGTGGCAACTTGGACCTGCGGAAGAAGTGACAAAAAAAAAAAAAAAAATAAAATCTCATCAGTCAAGGGGAGCGGAGCGCGTGTCCCCGTCCCTACACCCTCCTCCCTCCAGCAACCCCACCCCACCGCCGCGACCCCCCCCCAACCCTAACGGCGGGGCGGGAGGCTCAAGCAGCTTACCTTTTTGTTTTCATTTGCATTTTGTTCTCATTTGTTTGTGTTTTACATCTGTCCCATGTGATTGGAGGCGTCTCCCATCCCAGGGTGGGGTCCCGCCAGGGAAAGCGGCGGAGGATCCGAAGATACTTTCTCTTCTTCCCTTCTTTTCAGGCACGCCGCTTTGGGGTTCAGGTTCCGTTCTGTCAAATGGAAGCGAAAAGCCCTTTGGGATATTCACCTTTTTTTTTTTTTTTTTACACCAGATTCAGGCCTTTCCAATCACCAATTCCTCTCGCTCCAGCCCCCCGGCTAGAGGAATTCACCAAGCTGAGCGGGGAGGAGGCGGCTGGGGGGGGGGGGGAGGGGGGAAGGTGCCGAAGGCCCCGCAGGGTGTAAAAGGATTGCTGGCGCCACACTGACCTCTCACTTGCTGCTCTAAGCTGAGGATGACAGCCACGGCCTGGTGTAAAATCAGGAGCTTGGTCTGGGGCTTGTCGCTCTTCAGGTGGAGCTGCACCATCCGGCCCAACTCCTTGAAAGCCTCGTTGATGTCGCGGACGCGCAGGCGCTCCCGCGCGTTGTTGGCCATTCTCCTCTCTTTTTCCCTCTCGGCCTTCTGCTCCGGGGTCAGGTCCTCGTCGTCGTTATTGCTGCGAGACAAAAAAAGGAATACATCGTTTTCTAACGACGCGGGGAGAATCAGCGGGGCGGCGACCTGCAACCGCCTTGGCCCGGCGAGTCGTCGGCAGGCACCTTATTTGCGGCTCCTCTTCCACCAAACCTGCGCAAAATTCAATCCCCTTCAATTTTACCCCGGGGTCAAGCCTTGGCTTGTCGTGAAGCTTTACAAGCTGCAATTTAAGGACACGCTGGTGGCACTGCTCCCATCTGCGTTGTGTTTTTTTTTTTTTTTTGGGGGGGGGGGGGGGGTTGGTTCACCTGGGGAGCGAGGTGCTTGTCCCCGACCCCGCTCCTCTCACTCCCCGCCCGGAGCACCGAAACACCCGGGGGGCCAAGAGCCACGCAAGTCCCTTATGGCTGTGAAAAGCCCTGCGGTGAACCTCCTCACCTTTTCTGCAACAAAACGGCTCCCTCCCCCCGGCAAAACGAGGGTTTGAAACTGAGAACACAGCCGCCGGTGAGTCACTGGCATTCTATGATCTGACTTGGTTATGCAAATGGAGTTAATAAATTTTCAGCAGCCCTAACAACATGGATGTCGACGGAGAGCTAAACATCAGGAGCAACCTTTTAAAGCTGGAAGCATGTTAAAAGCAAAAATGTTAGCCTACAAAAGCTTCAAAGCACACAGAAATATGCACAAGCGACAGCGTATTTGTTGAATTAACAAGAACTCCCGTCACCTCGCAGCAGCATAAAGGTGCTTTCTCCTTCCCAGATCGGAAGCGCCCGTGAAAGCCTCGCTTCTACATCTGGTTCCTTCAACACATTCACTCGGGGAAAATCTCGAGTGCCATGTGTCCTCTCGAGTCACGAGAGACCTGAGCGGAACGAATGGCTGAACCGCCGGCGAGCGCCCGGCCTGCGAGGTCTGAGCTTGGCCGGGGGGGGCGGCGCGGCTGCTCGGCCGCTTCTTACCTCGGCTCGGTTCTCACACCGAGAGCCGGGAAGGCAGGAAGACGTTGCCTTTAAAAAACCATTAAAAAACCCCCCAAAAATCTCGAAGGCCAAAAAAAAAAAAAAAAACCAAACAAACAATATCAGGGCTGTGCCTGGGCGTCGGCTTTAGCGGGAGATTTGCTCCCTCGCCCCGGGGACTCGGCTGAGGAGGAGGAGGAGCTGCACCTCGGGCCCCCGCGGTGACAGGGGACGTTCAAGCCTGGCCCTCGCTCAAGCTGTTGACATCCCCCACGGGTGCGAGTTCCCGGGTGACAGAATCCAGCCAGGACTTTGCTAACCCTCTCCCCGATTTTCTAAAGGCTACGCCCAACGAGCGAAGCCCTCTAAACCCTCCGCTGAGACCCGGGGAGCCCGAGAGATTTACAGAAATGGAGCGCCGGGAATGACAAATTTATTTCCGAGGTAAAAGAAAAACCAGGTGGTTTGTTAGTTCAGACGCAGGCGTGATCAGCTCTTAGGCATGTTTTTTCCAGAGCTGCAAATCCCCACTGTATTCCAATTTGCAAGCAGAGGCAGAGAGGAATAACAAGCCTAAGTCATACATTTGAGCGGAACGCAATTTCTTTAGAGATTGTGGAGAACTTGCTCAGTGTCCAAATTGGCCAATTGTTTGAATTTGACGACGTCCTGGAGTACAGGTACCAGGAAGGTACTCGGTACTGCCAGGACAGCCACGCCGTTCCACTTAGGCTGTGGTTTTACCTGCCAGGAAAAAACCTCATAGTTTCTTCCTGTTCTGTTCACTTCATCGAAATCCAGTAAAGGAATTAAATGAAGCGACACTATTATATACTGTTACCTAGATCTTGACCTAGTAATTGATTTGATATCCTTCTTGTCATCCTCTAGTTTCTTGTCCTCAGAAGACTTTGTGTCCTGGAGGTTTTCATCTCCCTCGTCGTCGGATTTGATCTCGGAGCTCCCCGAAGAGACGCTCTGCCCTTGCAGCCCGGTTGGCATGCCTGCGAGAGAACGACAGGGACGAGCCCGTCAGCCGGCGCCTGACAGCTCCCGGGGCCGTGTCCCCCTGTCCCCAGCCAAGGGTGACCCACCACGGAGCCCGGCGAGGGTGGGGGGGGGGGGGTGCCACCTCCTGGCAATGGGTTTTAGCGGCGGCTTTGGGGTCGAGCTTTGCTCTGTGGCAAGGGGAGCAGGATGCCGAGCTGCTTCCCGCCACCCTCCCCCCCCCCATCGTTTCCCTCACCTGAAGAAAAAAAAAAAAAAATCCTTCCCGTGGCATTCTCCTAAAATAATCCAAATACCTCCGGCTGCAGTGAGGGAGCAAGACCTTGTAAGCCATCGTCATGGTTTGGGCTCTTTTTTTGGGGAAGATCAGCTGCCTCTAGGACTAACAACAGACCCCAAAGGGCTTTGGGTTTGGTGAGCTGAGTCGGTGAGGCTCAGGACAGCAAAACCCGTCTTGGGAGCCAAAGAGAGGCACCCTGCCCGCCGGCACGACTGGAAAAACGGTGGAAAATCCGCAGGTCTGAGCCTCCCCCCTTCCACCCTTGTTGGTGTGAGTGCAAACCGTGTTTGCTACGCTCGGGGTTTTGCTGCTGAAAGCCGCCCTGGTAGCAAAACTCAGCGTCCAGAGGGAAGCTGCTGCCAGGTGGAATAACTGACTCTCTTCCCGTTTTAGCCGCCGGAATCTTGCAGAATTTAGCCGTGCCCTGCGCCGCGTCACGGTCTCCGACGTCCCCGTGACCAGAAGCTCAACCCGTTCATCCCTCCGGCTCGGGTCACCACCGGCCCGCCTGCCCCTTTGGGGATTTTGTGTCCTGGGACGGGGTTCCCACTTACTCACCCCTGTACGGGTCCTGGGGCGGGTTCAAATCCGGGGAGGTGGCCGACTGGACGGGCAGTTGGGGGACCGGCACTTGGTTTGGCACGAGCGAGTGGCTCCCGCGGAGGCTGACCCCGTCCTCGCGATGCGCTCCGACCTGGCGGCGAGGAGGAGAGAGGCCAGCGGTGAGGCGCGGCGGGGCCGACCTCCCTCTCCCCCCCCCCCCCCCCCCCAAATCCTGGGGGAACCCCCTTTTCCCTTCCTCAAACAAGAAGGACGAGGACGGGGAACGGCGGCTCCGGGCTGCGTTTCACTAGAGGGCGCAGATGGCTCGCTCCAACCGCCCCAACGCCGCCCGCCTCGCCACCGAGCAGGCTCAGGCAGGTAAAACGTCAAATTGTCTCCCCGGGTGCCGCAGCCGAGCGCGCCGATTCCTCCCCATCTGTCTTCTATCATGTCCGCCAACAGATCTGACAATTATCTTAATGCCCATATGCTTAATTGTGGGCTTCGCAATTCCCCCATTGCTATCGGAAATCCTGCAGGAATTTCAATTTGGCATTCGGCTTTCATTTCGGGGACGCGGGGGGGGGGGGGGATCAGATTTGCAGGCCTGCCATTTTTTTTTGTTGTTGTTTTTTTTTTTTTGGTTTTTCCCCCCGGAATGCCAGCTAAGCTCCTGACAGCGGGAGCACCCCCGCCCCGCTCCCCTCGAAACGTAACAACGTGTCACCCGCCTTTCCGAAACGAGAAGCCCCGTCCAAATTAGCGCTCGCTGTATTTCATTAACCACCGAGGCCCAAACCCAAAGGAGCGCCGGCTCTGCCAACGCCGTGACTCCGGGTAATATCCCAATAAAGGTTTTATTAAACACTCCAGTAATGCCATCATCGGAGCTGACAGCCCGGGCGCGATGGAGACGCGTCCCTTCTTCCCCTCTCCGTGGCTCCCGGCCACGCTCCGTGGCGCAAGCTTGCTCCTTCGTTAAATAAACGAGCCGGGCGAGAAGAGTTAAGCAGCCGGAGAGCCAAACTGTCAGAAGTTGCTTTGCTATCGAAGCACCCGGAGAGGTAACGCCGGCGAGGTACGGACGGACCTCCGGCGGGACGGACAGACGGCGCGCCTCCGCCCGGAGAACTCAGCGCTCCGCCTCAGGTGCACGAAAGCTCGGGGGAAAGGGGTGATAAACCCGGCGGCGAACTGTGAATCGCTCCCTGCTCTCCAAAAGTCAAGCGCTCCGGCAGAGAAAAAAGATGGAGGGATGTTTCTAATCAGACTTACAAGATAATATAGGATAATTGTTAACAGCAAGTCGAGACCGCAGTAAGAAAGATAAAAGGGAATCCTGCCAAGGGGAACTGGAGAAAATCTTTTACTACTAGACGAAATGCAAATAACCGAAAGCAAGTGTAAAATAGCAGAGAGAAACTCTCTCTTTGTTCAGACCTTTTAATTTTTACAACATGAGGGCCTAAGAAAAGACTGGAACCAGCATTATCTGGTTTTACGAGAGAACCAGTTGTTGCGGGGCGCTCAGAGTTCGGCAGTTCCACTTCCTGAAATCTCAATGCAGAAAATGCAATAAAAGCCTGATGACATCCTTCTGAGAGGAAAAAGTGTTTGGGTTTTTTTTTTTTTTTTTCCCCCCCACACACACACCTACGAAAGAAAATGCTGAGGGACACAGGCTGTCCTTCTCCATCCCCAGCTCTGCTCGATACGACCCCTGGGCAACCCGACCTAGCCCCATGGCTTTCACCCCAGCCACCTCCGCTCTACATTTGTTTTTTTTTTTTTTTATAGTGCTTCTATGAAAGGGGAAAACCAGCTAGTTTGGAGGTTGACGAAGACAAAGAAACATGTGCTACCGCTCGGCGTTGGCGACCAACCGCCACCCTCCGAGCAGAGCTCCCCAGAGCTGGGAGGGAGCTGTGACAAGACGCCACGTCTCGCTCTGGCTCCCTCCTCCCTTTTCCCGTGAGCTTCCCCGGGCTCCGGACGTGACCTGCGCAGGCAGACGGACAGACAGACAGACAGACCCGGAGATGGCAAGCATCCCATCCTGCTCCTGGCCCGGAGCAGCCTCCGGACCACCTCCGTTACGGAGCTACACGAGATGCCTCCAGTTGGGTGGTCCAGCTCGAAGAGGGACAACCTGGCTACCTTGATTATTTGGCCTGGTTTCTCCCAAGACCACGCCTTGTCTTATCATCTGTAGAAGCAGGCATGGTAATAATCAACAGCTAATGATTTGGAGGAGTTTTCAACCGGAGCGTTGGGAGTCAGATGCAAAAAAGAAGAAGCCATAAAGTCACCGCCGCTCTACCGCTGACATACTGATAGAAAGTTTTATATTTTGGCAATTGGTTCCAATAAAAGGAGATTTCCTCACGTTTCTTCTCCTTTTGGTTCTCACGAGACCTGGGAGGTAACCACCAACTGAATGATAAAAACCATCAGTTCTTCTATCCCTTTTTACAATCTGCTATGTGATCGATCTTGCTCGTTGAGATTTACAGCTCTTTGTCCTGCCAGCTGGCAAATTCCAGGCTGGCTCAGGGAACAAGTCCAACCTCTCTGCCCATCCCTACGCGGAAGAAAGACCGTTTCTTATCCACCGTGACCAACTTCAAGCCCGTTTTTCCTTCTCTCCAAGCAGGAGGGATGGGATGGGATGGGATGGGATGGGATGGGATGGGATGGGATGGGATGGAGCTCACCTTTCCCACCCGTCCATCCCGTACCGCAGCGAGGGGGCTGCTCCAACCGACTCTTTCTAACTCTACAGCTACACAACCCATCACCTCGCACCGGCTTTTCCCCGCCGTGTTTTCTTAGCTCATTTACTTCCCCCGTTTCAACCACCTGCAAGAAGACTCGGGCAGCCCCATCGCTTTCCTTGTCCACACAGAAGGGGTTTTCCGGGACACAGAAAAACTTCAAGGCGGAGACGGGACCTACTGAAATAAAATCCATCCTAGACACGGCGTGAGGAGGGGACGCACGAGCTCGGGGCGCCGGCAGCTCCCGGCCCCCCCGGCGACATGAAGATTTTCTGCTTCCCCCTCCCTCTGCAGCCAGCAGTGCCGCTGGTTTGTCTGTTACACAAACAACAGCTCTGCCCTGAGGTGAGGCGAAGATATGAATCATTCCCCCCACCCCAAGCCGGGGAGTGTAGATTATAAATAATACTTATCTTTAAAGAATCAAACTCACTTTGAAGTTCTGTTAATATTTTATTCCTTTCCATCTCTTTAAACAGCCCCCTACTGCAGCGTTCAGCAGATTGGAGTGGGGAAAAAAAAAAAAAAAAAATACCCGACAAAGAGCAAATCCTAAAATGTGCATGGGAGGTAAGAGCAGGCTCTGCTGTTGATGTGCAAATCCCGGCCTCAATGTCCCTTTTGCGATCACCATCCCAGGCGCACCTGAGCACACGTGTGGCATGCTCAGGCCTGAAGCACGTTCCAGCTGAACTAATTCAGGGCAAAACCATGAGAAGCCCAAACCCCGTGGTTTTTTTTTTGTTATTATTAAGGTTAATTTCTCTGGAAGAGAAATAAATATCGGGGCAGAGAAGGCTGATCCCAGAGGCAGGGATTGAAATCAGAATAAGAATCGAAATGGTTCCGCAGCCCTTCCAGTGCAGGTCTCTCTGGAGACACGCACGTACTGGGTGGACGGACACGGCACGAAAACCTGGACAGAAGATGCCTGAATTCACACCTGCCTCAGTCTTTTACGGCATTTTGAAAACTTCAATAACTGGAAGAAGGCAAGACCTTGTCTTCTCTTACCTTTGCGTTTTCATTTTTATATATAGTAACAGATGCTCAGCACAAACGTCAGGTTTTTCTGGTTGTGCGAGTCTATGTATTCCAGATTATCCGTGCTATCTCTACCTCCATCACGACTGGGAAGCTGTTTTACAAAAAATATGTGGAAATTAATTCTTGAACGCTCAGCATTTCAGGAGGGAGATGGATACCCGTAGTTAACCCAGCTAAAGAACGCGGCGCTGGAAAAGAATTCGCTTTCGCCCTCGCGCCACAAACTGCATTTTTCCTTTTCTTTTTTAAAAAAAAGCAACTCTTCTGCTGTCCAAGATGCTTCTTTCCTCAATGTCAAGCTGCACGGGATTGAATTTGCCAGATTTTCCTGATGAATAATAACCCCACGGAGCGGGCTGTTGGCCTAAACGCCCTCTCCACGGCTCCGGCCGTGGCTGCAGAGCGCGGCTGTGACCTGCAAAAGCGGAGGGGCTGGTAGCCCCCGGGAAGGGTAAATCTGTATAAAAATCCCTTTCCTACGGAGCAATCGAGGATTTTTCCGTAGGAGAGCTTCCCCAGCTCCCTGCTGAAGATGTATGCATCACCTCTTCCTGCCAAGAAGGGAAACGCTGTGCGTCCAATGCGCCCTCCCAGCTGCTGGCGTGGGGCTTGGGAGGAACCGGGGGGGAAAAGGAGTGGGGGGGCCAGGAGGAATGGGGGTGCAGGAAGAGTGGGGGGAAAAGGAGGAATGGGGGTGCAGGAGGAATGGGGGGATCAGGAGGAACAGGGGTGCAGGAGAAATGAGGGGCAAGGAGGGATGGGGGCGCAGGACGGATGGGGGAACAGGAGGAATGGGGGAACAGGAGGAATGGGGGAGTCAGGAGGAATGGGGGAACAAGAGGAATGGGGGGAAGAGGAGGAATGGGGGAACAAGAGGAATGGGGGTGCAGGAGGAATGGGGGTACAGGAGGAATGGGGGAACAGGAGGAATGGGGGAATGGGAGAGCGGGGGGAGTGGGGGAACGGGGGGAACAGGAGGAATGGGGGTGCAGGAGGAATGGGGGAACGGGAGGAATGGGGGAGCGGGAGGAATGGGGGTGCAGGAGGAATGGGGGAACGGGAGGAATGGGGGAATGGGGGTGCAGGAGGAATGGGGGAACAGGAGGAATGGGAGAGTCAGGAGGAATGGGGGTGCAGGAAGAATGGAGGAACAGGAGGAATGGGGGCCAGGAGGAATGGGAGTGCAGGAGGAATGGGGGAATGGGAGGAATGGGGAAGTCAGGAGGAATAGGGGTGCAGGAAGAATGGGGGTGCAGGAGGAATGGGGGTGCAGGAGGAACGGGGGGCCAGGGCACCAGCTTCCCAACCTGCATCCCCCCACCCCTGT